GCTCAAATCCAGATAGACCACATCTACCTCTCTGCCCTCATCTATCCAGCTAGATATTCCTTCATAGAAGGTGATAAGGTTAGTCAAGCAGGATTTCCCCTTGGTGAATCCATGCTGGCTACTCCTGAGCACCTTCTTCTCCTCCATGTGTCTGGAGAGAGCAGCCAGGATGAGCTGCTCCATCACTTTCCCGGGGCTATATATGCACATAACAAGTGCAAGAAAGGAAATAGTACAAAAGATTAGGACGCAGCATCAAGCCATGTTCAAGAAAAACATGTTCAGAGTTCCCTCAGAACCTGTTACTGCACATTCACATTCAGAAAGTGGATCGATTCAACAGTCTCATCACAAATGCAACATATCCACGATCTGATCTAGATTGAAGACCGCTAAATTAGGTAGGGGTAGCAGGCTAAACTTAAAGCACAGATTTAATCCTTTCTTCACACTAGTTTTACAGTCAACAGGCAACTCCATGCAATAAAACAGCCACTTGTACTTGAACCACCCTATTTCGGATAAATCGGTCGGCATGACGTCACAGCCATCTATACAGAAAGAGTTTCAGATAATGTCATGGTAAAGAAATGAGGGGACAGATTCTGAACTGCAAATGGCTCAAAATACAGTATAATCACAGATGCCCTGTAAATCACARGTTGTAGAAGGGGGAAAGAGAGAGACCAAGAGTATTTAACAAACTGAGAACGGGATGACTCAAACTCACCCATGCATATGGCTTCACATGCACTCACGCAACCTTTAATAGGATAATCTATTACCATAAAAGCAGGCTGCACAGATTACCTGGCTGATCTAGAAAGAAAGGAATGTTCTTCTGGAGCACACAGGAGGGCTGAGGACATGAAAGGGTTTATATAACTTGAAGGGGAAGATGACAGCAACTACTGTACCTACTCTGGCCACTGCTGTGATGCACAGTCTGCAGGATAACTCGCATCCTTCAGAACGTGCCCACGAGAGCAGATTTCAGTCTCCTCTTGGGAGTCAAGAGCTGCATTCCCTACAGTGATGCTGAAAGATAGTAGAAAGTAACAAAGGAGATATAAAATTAGGAACCTATTTACTTCAGTGGGGCTACTGAAGAATATTGTGCAAAAATGAAGACACAGGCTGTAAAAGCAAAATCACTCAAGTGTCTGTATTTATTAATAGATAATATTAACTGGCCTATTAACTGACAGGAAGAGAGAGTTTATGGTAGTCAGGTATGCAGTATGGAGTGCTCTTCCTAATGAGGATTCCTTCTTAAGAGATGCCTGGTAAAGCCAGGAGGAAGGTCAGATGCTCCCCAAAAGGAGTCCTAAAAAGCAGTGGAAACACGAGCAGGGCCAGTCTGATGCCTCTTCAGCCCATCTGCTGCAGGGGGAGRCCAAAGTGCCCAAAAAGAAAAGCGATTGCCAGGCTCATTATTGGTTTTGCCACAAGTAAACTGAAAAATTTTCTAGTTCAGAACAGCAGCCTTAGGCCAYTATTTAGGCCACCTACTATCGTTCAGTAATATTTAATGCTATTGTAAACAGAGCCAGGGAAATTCACATTTTTGCTTTAAGAATTTAAGAAGCAGGGAGGAACAGTTTGGGGGGGAAATATTATATCCATATGGGGAAAAAGAGGGAGAACGAAAGGATATTTAGCTCCCATAAATCTCAAAGGTAATTCCATTTTGGAAATATTAAGAGATCATGAAYGTTATAAGCTCATGATCTATGAAAAGCACTTTGCCACCTCAATAAATCACTGCAGGCCAGAAGTGATGTCCAGCGGTGACAGGGAAATGCTGCCTGCCAAAGCTCTCCAGGAGCAGGGCTGTTCTGTCTCGGCTCCGCAGCGCGCCTGGCGTGTTCTAGGACCCTTCAGCAAATATCAGGATATGCCTCAAACAGTCCATGGGAACGCTCTCTGCAGAGCACCTAAAATACTTTCCAAGGAATGTGTGGGAGTTTGTCAAACAGGAAAAAAAAAAATGTTCCTAAAGGATGTTAACTGTTGTATCTACTGATCTACTGAACAGTCTACTCGTGGGTAGCTGCATTTTACCTGGATCATCTATCACTTATCTAAAAGGGAGGTTTGATGCACCAACAACCTTAACTTTGGAAATTGTGCTTTATGGGCAAACAGCACATAAATCCAGAGTTTCAATTTAAAAAAAAAAAAAAAAAAAAAAAAAAAACGGAGGCTTAAAATTCAAGTTTAAACATTTGCCTTCTAGCCCACACCAAATTCCATAACAGACATAATGCAGTTTCATAGCACATGGTAGACATGAAGAGATAGCAAATTTGAGTGTTTGCTGCACACATTTATGACCTGCACACTCCTGGGCAGAAATGCCCAGTATATACAAAACGCTAGTTTAAATTATATACCTAATAAAACAGCCAGTGACATCTAAATAAATTAAGTGCCGGAAATGATAATTACACGGCACGGTTCTGACTTTCCCCAGCTCTGAAGTTTTCATTCCTTACACAGGGAGATTAGTAAAAATCTCAAATACAATTTGTCACAGCATACAGCAAAAGGAAATGTACTGCCATGAAACTATTCTTAAACAGCAATCTATATACACAAGAAAGKGTGATATAGATATCTGCCCGGGGGATTCTTGCCTTTGCAAGAATCACATCTCCAGTTATTTTCTCTCTGACATGTAAGGAGAGCTGCGACCCCAAAGCGTTCCTACCTGGAAGGCTGAACTAGCCTGTCTGAATCTATGCTGCAAGTTCCACATGAGGCAACAATCCATCATCAGCTAAAATCAAACCCCAGAGGCACAAGACCAATTTGCACTGCATGGGCTGAGGCAGCCCTGTGTACATAGGCACACACAGACTTTAAGAGCTTTCCATTTCCATTTGACACCTTGGCGCTCAGGTCTGTTCACACGGGCTCCACGTGGAGGTGTGTTAGTTCAGCCATTCAACATCTACAGTGCAATTTAGGCAAATCCTAGATTTGCACCTTCTCTACCAAAGTATTTTTGAACAATTTCATTTTTCAAGTGGAACAGAATCTGCTCCTTATTGCTATCTAAGGATTTCAAGGCAAAGGCATAAATGCATAGAAGGGAATTAGCTAGACCAAAGAGAAAGCAGCATAAATAAAGAAACCCATAGTAGTCTTTGGCTGTGAGAAGGAAGGAAGAGACARTGCCAAGTCCCTGAAAGAGGAGAGGTGCACATGGCCCCATGTTTCCAAAACTCAGGGCACCAGGAAAAGACAGATGGGCAGCCACCAAGCTCTGTTGCAGGCTTATGCCTCAAACATTTCCACACAACATCAGCAGTCCCACTCATTTTTTTTTTTTTAATTTCAAAAAGTCCTGCCCTCTGTTGCTGTTTTAGTTAGGGAAAATCAGAAAATAAAATATGGAAGCTGAAGTGAAAAAWGAAAACGGTG